GATATTGCTCATGGTTTGATATTTGGCTAAAATGCAGATGTAAGGCTCCCACCCAAAGGCTTCCTGCAGCTGAAGAAAAATAAGGATTCCATCACTTTACTCCATAATTCTGAACTTGTAAATGATATACCACTCACTGTATTATTAGACCCCGAGAACTACAGACTAGTCTGACTATCACTGATATCAGGAAAAACTGTGGAGCAGATTATTAAGAGATGGTTTGCGAGCATTTAGAAAAGGAATGCAGTGCTCTGCAGAAGTCAACACGGTTTATCCCAAAACAAGTCATGCCAAGCCAACATCATCTGTTTTTGATTGAGCGACCATTTTAAGTGACTGCAGGAGTGTAGGCACAAGGTACTTTGTCTTCGCTTGTATTACATGAAATCTTTTATGGAGTTTTTGCTGCTCGGTGAGTTTGGTTGTTTATTTGCATATGTTTCATTACCCAACTAGCATTTTATATCAAGCCAAATCCAAAAATGCTAGGGAATCCCTGGAAGCTTGGCCTTCAGACAGATCAGCCATCAATAGACATGTAGAGATAAACCACATTTATACACCATTCAAAAGAGGCAATAAAAAAAATAGGAAGGAAACAAAAAAGACTTCCCCTCCAGCAACCAATGCTCAGATAAACAAGGATGAACTCCAGACAGACAATCAGGCAGAAAACAATACTCTAATCAAGGAATCACCAAGGAGGAAACCACACTCCCACCAAAAACTGGCAAGGGAAGCTACGATATATAAGCAATTCCACATCCACTCACACTGTTGATGTTACCTGGTGGGGTAATCAAATGTCTGCAGACGAACAACCAAGCTGAGCACCAAGAACTCCAACCCTGAGTTACGTACAGCATATTCTCTTCTATTGAAAGCCTTTTATGCAGTTCTAGTATACAATATGATAAAATGTGTGCAGCACTGTGTTACCATTAGAGGGTTACAGTGCTGACTGAACAAGGATACCTGTATTGAAGGTGAGTGTACTTCAATAGTTTCACATCGAGCTGGAAGGAAGTGTCAAGTGAAGAACTCACTATGCTAGGCCCTGTGGCGTTCAGCATGTTTAAAAATGATTTGGATTGGAACATGCGATTATTAAATTTGCAGAGGACACAAACATGGAGAGATATTAAAGTATCAAGTACCTTGAATAGCATGACAAACTGGAATAATGGGCAGAAAACAGCAACATTAATTTCTGCAGGGACAAATGCAAAGTCTTACGAAAGTATAAGATGAGGAAAAAACGCTGGGCACAACAATATATAAGAAAAGGATCTGGAGGTCATCATGGATCACAAGGTGAACATGACCCAACACCTTAATGAAACTTCAAAAAGGGCAAATGGAATCTTAGGCAGCACAAGAAAAGTATTGTGTCAAGAGGAAGAGATTCACTCTTCCTTGCTATTCTGTATCAGAAGAATAGAGAAGAGGAGGATTATTTATCCTCTTAATCAAACAGATGCCAGGCCCTAGCACCAGTGGAAAAGCAGGTTTATGTTCCTGAAGATCACATTGTGAAATCTGAATTCTAGGGGAATGCCATGTCTTTTAGAGACCCAGAGGGCAGAAAATGAGAAAAATCCAGCCTGAGCTGATGTACTGAAAAGGAGCCAGGCTGTGAGTTTCCAGGGTAACCGGTGCCAGAGGTGGATGTCACTCACCTGAAGGCAGCACGGGGACCACTCTCCATGAGAGCTCTGCCTGGTGTGATCCATATCTTGCTTCAGTGATACAAACCTATTTAGACGTTTGATCCCAGAATGCAGCTTGTGCTTTAGAGTTTCAGCCCATAAGGCATTCCTTGAGAGGAAGAAGCTTGCTCTTCAGCCGGGATTGCCCGTCTTTCCTCTGGGCCAAAAGTTACAGCTCCAGGACATCTTCCAGGATTATGAGGTTTTGTTAAGTCTGTAGATCTGGAACAGACACACTAGAACAATTTTGCCCAGTGTTGCTCTGTGACCTCATTCATTGTTTTTCTGGATCCTGCATTTGATTGTGGGTCTCCATGCAACATACACAGAAGCTGTCGCCAAGCTGTATTCAGTCACTGAATGTGTGTATCCACACAGTCTAGGAGAGCTGACAGATGGATGGTGCCAGGTGTAGCAGGAATCTCTCTTCTGCACACTTGCTTACTGCTCAGCTGCTTTTAGATATCCTAGACTAAGTTTTGACAGATGACTGTTTCTCCTGTTACCGCCCAGTTAAGGAGAAGACTGATTTCTGCATGTTCCTCTGCCAGCTGGTGACTTTTGGTAGGAGGGGCACGAAACAGTGCCAGGAGAATCCATCCATTCTTTTTTTAATGTGCCCTGTATACTGTAAATAAGGATGATCGAATTTGATAGCGGTATGGCTGTGACAGAAGAGGGGGCAGTAAATCTTTTCCTCTTTTTTTTTTTTTGCCAGCTCAAAGGTAAGAGGATGTCATTAACTCAGCTGTGGTGATGAGCGTGTGACCAAAGGAAATCGATGTAGAATAGAACAGACATAATTCTTTCCAGGATGCAGACGTGTAACAGTCAGCCTCCCTTTGAGCTCTTGAAAGATTTACACTTCCAATTTCCTTTATTTGTGGTAGAGCAATGTTACCCTTTGAAAATTCCCATTTAAAAAAAGGGGATTCCTGTTTTCCCTGGCTGCCAAGCTGGTCCCTCTGCTAGCTTCCCACTTCTCTGCTACTGCGCATGATAATGTAACCCACTCAGAAGTTATTTCCCATAACTTTGCTTCTTTTACTTCCAGATAATTTCCTCCTGTCTCCATCCATTTCTTTGGATAATGGGAGCTGCTTCCTTGTCCCTTAGCGTGCAGAAAGTTGTCACCTTTGTCATGATGTAAGGCTGAAGGCATTCCAATCTTTATTGAAAGATGAGTAAAAAACAGAAGAAAAATTTCTTTTTCCTTGACCCTTCCCCACTCCATACTTAACAAACTGTGCATTAAGACCAAGCTACAGATTAAACTGCATAAATATCCCCAAGGAGCTCCATATAGGAATACATTGGATGCCATATTATTGTATTCATAAGAAATTTCAGCTGTTTGACTGATATTTCCTTTGCATTATCTTTCCAAGTCACATCTCAAAACTTGACTCCTTATAACATTCAGAGACAACTGTATTATCTCTTAAAATTACTCCCTAAAAAGATTGGAATCTGGTTGTTTTCCAAGTTGTTTCTAGCTAGCTCTCGGAGTTTGCATTTCTGAAAGAGCAAATCAGCCTAAGATTTAAAGTTCATGAGGAATGTCTCCAGTTAATGGAACTGCAATATCTGGAACCAGAGTTGTGTATCTGCTATATTACAGTCCAGACAAAACCCAAAACCTAATTTAGTCTTCAGTATGTTCAATGAAGCATCAAGTAAAACTTTTGCAACTACCTGACCTAATAATACAATAATTGCCCCAAGTTGAGCTGAACTAGATATTCCCATGCATTTAATCCCTGGTATTTCTAAATGAGGTCTTTGAAAGCCCCTCCAAAATTCTGGAGAGCCATGTCCAGTTAGCATAGACAATGCTTAGTAAAGTTCTCACTTTTTCTTTATACTTATCATTTTCTTGTACCAAAGGATTTAATCTATCTGGTCTAAGTCAGTAAATTTCCAGTTAAACATGAATGATTTGCTTACCTTTTCAGAAACTCTTGCAAATTAGATGTGAGTCCTCAAAGTGTCTGCCTGTAAAGTGGGGCTAAGCACTGCCATGAACATCCTTTATATATTATTGGAATGAAAATTGTGGGTGGATGACACATTACTCCTTTTGTCAAATGACACAAATCCACAGGAGTGTTTCAAAGTGCAAAGGACGAGCCAAGAATTCCCAAGGCAGAAACAAGAATTCAGATTTTCAAAGAACTGGCGTATAAAATGTGTGGCTTTTCATTTATACAGAGTGCTTAGATAGACCAAGGATACAGGAAAGCAGGAAAAGAAAGTTGAGATAGCAAATTATATAGTTTCTTTTTCCTAAAAACATTCCAGCTGGCTTACCAGAAACCTATTTGCTGATCTTCAATATGTACATGTCACATAAATATCTGATAAATAAATATAAATATCCAACAACCTATTTACACACAGTGTTACATAAATATTTACAGCCTATTGGCTGATCTTCAACATCCTAGAGTGGGAAGGGGTCACTGAGGCCATCAGTGCAGGAAACTAAACCAAAACATCCCTGACAAATGGCCATCAATTTGCATTCAGTGAAGTGGATTCTGTGACTGAATTCAAAGAGACTAGGAAGTTTCTAATAAATGCATTTAGGAGTGCATCTCTGAACTCTTTCTTGCATTACTATAGAGCCTGTTGATCCCTCTGGAACTTAAACACATTGCAAAGTTCATCTTAATACTAGGATTTGGTTAGGACTACCACACCCGGCCTGCAAATGTGCAGTCGCTGAATGGCAGCAAAGGAACTCAGAAGACTCCTACTCTTGGTTAATGTCATCGGTCCTCTTGGGCTTTTGCAGCCCAACTACGCTATACCTATGTACTTTTGTATTTTCTGAAGTCTTGTTCCATCTTTTAACTCAGACTGGTAAAAAATTGACTTTGTCCTTAGCACCATTACTACTCTCATTTTACTGATCCTTAAATAATGTCCTAAGTTATCTGTCTTGTTTATTTCCATTACTGCTCTGATTTTAATGCTCCTCAAGTAATGTTGTCCTAAGTTATCTGTCTTGTTTATTTCCATTACTGCTCTGATTTGACTGCTTAAGTAACATTGTCCTAAGTTATCTGTCTTGTTTGTTTGCTCTCAGTAGAATTCACAAACTGGTCTGGGTCTTAAAGTCCTACTGACATTTTTAATTCAGCCACCAAGGAAGAAACAACTTAGACAAAGTTATCCAGATGCTCTTATCTTCTGAGACATTACAGAACTACTATTGTTTTTATACAAGCATCTTGATAGTATCACAAAGAGAGCCACTTATATAATTCACAGTCATTTTTATTAAATAATAATGCAGATTTAGTATGGAAAGCAACAAAGAAAAATTGTTTTGAATCTATTTTGTACTATATATAATCACAGAGCAACAGCAGAAACTGGGCGGGGGGACCCACAGCAGAATTTCAGAATACAGAATCCAATGAATACAGAAAAAAGCTGAGAAATGGGAGAGTACAAACCATCCAGCCCCATCAAGGGAGATAAATTCTGAAAATAAAAAGCGACATCACCAAGACCCGCCTCAGAGCCTAAAATCATAATTTCATAAGTGAAACATTCTCAAAAATAGAGTTCTTCATGACAAGTACAGAAATGCCAATTCCTGAAGCTGGAATGGACCAGCTACATTAACTACTATAATGAAAATGTGAATTTCTATTTGCTTGTGGTCTTACATTGCTGCCAAATAGTTTAGAAGTTCAGGACAATCAACTTTGGTATACTTGATCAATGTTTAAAATGAAGTGGCTTTTTTCAGCTTTCTAGGCATTCACACCTCTAACCATGATGGTTCCGCAATGATGAAATAAGTCACAAGTTAATGATACAAGCTTCACTCATACTTGTGTTATGACGTTGCATGCTATACGTAAGGGGCAAAGCTTGCATCACAATATCTAAATGCACTTTTTGTCACCTCCACCCTCTAGGGATATGAGAGGCTTAAAAGCTTTCTCAAGGACGAAACCCCCCAACCTCTGCAAGATCTGCAATGCAGAGACAGATATTTCTTTTTAAAAAGCAGTAGTGAAATAATAGAGCTCAAATCTTCCACGGGAAGCAATGGATTAGGATTTTATGTTGCAGCTGATTGGTCATTTATTTTAGTTATTTCAGTTTGGAGCAAGCTGTTCCCCCATTCCCAGTGCCTCTCTGGTGGGGCTGATCTTGGCTCTGGTCCTTCAGGAAGACTGATACTTCACCATTGGATCCTCAGCCCAGGCAGGGAAGGATCTGGCCAGCTTCTCAGAGATCTTGTCCTCTATGGGCCACCCCCAGGTTTTGAAGAAAGGGCCCAGATTTCTGTTCACTTCCTGAGAGAAGGTTTCAGCCCACAGGTTCATCTTGGATTTGTTGTCGTCTGGGATATTGCTCATGGTTTGATATTTGGCTAAAATGTGGATGTAAGGCTCCCACCCAAAGGCTTCCTGCAGCTGAAGAAAAATAAGGATTCCATCACTTTACTCGATAATGATATTGCTCATGGTTTGATATTTGGCTAAAATGTGGATGTAAGGCTCCCACCCAAAGGCTTCCTGCAGCTGAAGAAAAATAAGGATTCCATCACTTTACTCGATAATGATATTGCTCATGGTTTGATATTTGGCTAAAATGTGGATGTAAGGCTCCCACCCAAAGGCTTCCTGCAGCTGAAGAAAAATAAGGATTCCATCACTTTACTCGATAATTCTGAACTTGTAAATGATATACCACTCATTGTATTATTTAGGTCACAGGCTAGAAATATAAAAACAAGTATGGACAAACCACAAATACGTATTTTATACAAATTCAGCTAATTTACTGGCCTATCCTTATATCCACCTATTCTTCAGCTGATCAGATTATCTCTGGTTAGAATTACTTCTCTCATGACATTATGAGTGGACATCGGTTTTATTCATTCCTCATGAGAGACTGTGGGAAGGAAGTAGAGGAGGAGTGTAGTTTAGATAACAAGAGGCAACACAGCTCTTGGAGGTGAGGTGAGAGTCATGGCAAGGAAGTGTTTCAAAGAGACTCTACCTTAATAACTCATCTTTGGCTGGGAATATACTGTACTCTTACAGTTTTCATAATTATGTTTTTACCCCAGTCTAACATTCAAGATGTCTTTCTGAAGCCTGTAAGATTCTTGCTTCTTTGGTTTGGCAACTATATTTCTAAACCTAACCTAAGGGTCTGGTTTGATTAGTCAGGGTTTGGTTAGTAGATTGGGAATTCAAGAAAACATCCTGGAAGAAGACAATAGGAAGCTAATTCAGTCTTGATCCCAAGAAAACTACATAGATATGTTCACCTAGCCTCTAGGATTTGAGCTCAACTTATGGAAGTTCTTGTTTTTCATAGGAAGTTCCTCCCCCTCTCTGCTCATCCCATGTACAATGGACCAATTTTTGGTGCCAGTGATGTCACATTAACATATTACTCTTACCTGCAGATATGGTTCCAAAGCAGTGAATACTTTAAAGTCCTCCAGGTTAGCTCCATTTTTAATGTAGTTCTCAATCCTCTCCTTTCTTGCTTTCGGCAGAAGATCTGGATGGGCTATTTCTCTGGAGATGCTCAGCACAGTCTCATTGACGTAAACAGACCAGAGGTTGCAGGTGGCTTCCGTGGTATGGGGTGGGAAGTTCCACCCACTTTTCTGCTGGTTGTGACCCAATTCATGAATTGGGCCCCAGGTGCCTTTGGCATAGAAAGCTTGCACGTCTATGATGTCAGGCAATGCTCCCACGTTACTCATGATTGGGTAGCCAGAGTGCATCCAACCTAGAGAAAGAGTTGGGGTAGATACGGTTAGATAGATCTCTCACTGTAGATGAAAGCGTAGAAATTGGGTGGGCAGGCTCCAGTACCAGAATTACATAATGTGGCCATTGGTCTGATTTCAAAAATCCTCTGCAAAAATCACTTCATGCTTCTGGAAATGGCTACCTATCCCTTCCCTGCAGTTTTCTGCTTAGCAAAGAGAAGGGGTGCTAGAAACAGAAGGAAAAAAAATAAGTGGCTGTGCCCTCACTGTCTCACCCACCATTTCTTTCCAGCTGCTCCCACTTGACAAATCACTCCTAGGGTGGTGGATGCCCACCAAAGGCCGATAGTAATCAAATATTTTGGATGGAACATATAGTATAAATTTGTGTGCAATTTATTTAATAAATTCATAGCTTATTTTTCTTTTTGGAGAGTTGAAAACAGTTCTCTTACGTACATAAAATATCTCATATATAACACAATAAAGCTAATACCCTCAACAATTCACTGATAGCTCTTATTTAGACAAGGTATTAATGGTCCAATCCTCCAAAGGTGAGGCAGGCAGACAAGATTTTACTAAGGCCAGCCTTGAATAGGACAAGTTTTCACACCACAGGAGAAGATTCATAGCCCATAGACTGTCCCTTAAGAAGGAATGGGTGTTGTTGTGCTGCAATAGGAGAATCCTTGCTAGCAATCTTTGAAATAAACATTTATTTGTTTGGCTGGTGTGGGTCTTCTGGGCTGTGTGGCCGTGTTCTGGAAGACCCACATCAGCCATCGTATGCCGGCCGTGAAAGCCTTCGACAATACATTTATTTGTTTGTTTGCTTGTTTATTCCATTTCTATCCTGCCATGATCCAAGCAACGCTTGGTGGCTTACAAGATAAGGAAGCATTAAAGCATTCATGGTAAGTCTTAAAATACAGGAAACAAGTTAAAATAAAAACATAAAGCCCAAGTGAACCAAGATAAAAGTTAGAGTAAGAAAAGTCTGTGGAAGAAAAGAATGATAAAAGAAGGCTAAAACTCCATAACTAGTTAAAAGGTTCCCCGCAATAGAAATGGTTTCAAGCATTCTCTTGAATGCCACCAAGAAGGGGCCAATCTGATCTCTTCCATAGAGTGGAAGATATAGACTGATTCAGAGGACTGGGAATGCCACCCAAAAGTGGTGCCTCCTGGCTTCAGCTCCCTTTGCTTCATCACACACTGATGATACGTCATCGCAAACTGTCAGATGGCCTCTCCCAGGCAGCTTCATGTAGAAGTTAAAAACTAGGAGAGAGAGGACCAACCCCTGCAAGGAGCCCACAGAATAGGGGCTGCTGAGGTGACCTTTCCTCCCCGCTACAACTACTGATGGAGACAACCCACTAAAAATCTTAATGCACCGTTGGGGATATCTTTGTTGAGATGAAATCTTTTGTGTTCCATGTCCTCAACTGAATTACGTTTGAAAGGTCAACAAGACTTGGCTGGACTTGAACTGGACGATATTGTTTCAGCTATGGGGAAAAAGGCTTCCCCAAATCAGTCCTGCATAATGGATGCTAACATTTGGGGGCATTTCTGTGTGCTGAGAAAGCCTGTGAATCATAGGTTGGTGAGGGACCTGGAGGCTGATAAGCTTATGAAACCACAATTCCCTCCTGATTTCTTTGAAAAAGGCTTGATGATAAAATAGTTCAAATGTAAGAAGTGTGGAATCTAAATATGTCTCTTAGTATAATAGCTCTGTTAAAACATGGCTAGGCTGTACAAAACAAGAAAGGACACTAAAAGTGTTTTATGGTTTTCCTCTACACAGGTGGGGTCTGTATTAGTATATACTTGCCTGTCGATATCTGGACATCTGTCACGATTCTCTCTGGTCTGGGGAAAAGAGAAGGGATGGAGGCTAACTTGGCAATGGCCCTCATCATCTGGTCCCAGGTCTTGAGAAGGAACTCAATCTTGTCATGACTACGCACAGCATCTGAGGGCAGTGTTAAGATGATATTCTCGGTTTCAAGTTCCGCCCAGGGAGCAGGGTAGTGGCAGATGTTCTCATGCCAGTCCTGGATGCTGGTTTCACCTAAGGAAAGATTAAACCAAAGGTGGGGGGGGGGAGAGAAAATTGTTTCCTATTCATGAAGTTAGACACCTGACAATTTGCTAACTCTAATGTCTCAATAGAAATGGTTTCAAGCATTCTCTTGAATGCCATCAAGAAGGGGCCAATCTGATTTCTATGGAAGACTGATTCAGAGGACTGGGACTGCCACCCAAAAGCAGTGCCCCCGATGAATTCTGAGCAAACCAGCAAAAAAGAGAAGTTTTGAACTTCATAAATTGAGGAGGGAGTTGTGTTACCTTGCTTGAAATAAGGAGCCTTGGTGGCCCCTTCTATGGTGACCGAGATGTAGCCCAGTGAAGACTTCTCTGGCACAATAACATACAGGAGGCCACCCCAGAGATTGGAGACCTCCATCTTCTTGCTCTGAACCTCAAATCTCCTTGTCATCACTGGGGGACGTTTCCATTCGTTGTGTTCAGTTAAATTATCCGTGTGACAGCCAATCTGTACCTGTAAAAAACAGCCTCTATTAAAACCAACGAATTACCATAAAGAGAGACGGGTTAATGAAGACATTAAATGGATGGAATGTGTTTTGACCATCTAAGGTGAGTGGAAAGCTCACAAACTGATTTTGTTTAGAACTAGGCTACTTTTTGTTTTATTATCTCTCGACGACAATATTCGGGGCTTCCAGTTATAACTCTTAGACTAAAAACATTAAGAGAGTGTTTAAATGATCTGGGGGTGGGAGTCAAGGGCTTTATTAAAGCCACCGACACTGCAAGTTGCTATGCCAATAATTATCCAAAACATTCAGTGACAGATAACAGGAGGCTCCATCTCCGAGTCCATCACAGAGGCACTCAGACACCCAAACACAGCGGTGGAACACTGAGAAGAAGAGCCTGAGCATATGGGGGGAGCATAATTTCTCATAGGAAGATTTCCTCAGAGGACAAAAGAGGAGCAGCTGTTAAACTGACAAGGCAGAGACTTAAAAAGCAAGAGAAGGTGATGGCTGGCAACATAAGATGGTTTTAGACAGCATTGTCTAAAGATCAATGCTGACAGATGAACCAGAGATGAACTGGGAAGTGCTGTATTGTGGAAGACTTGGTAATTTGAGGGAGGCCTAAAGTGTATGGGCTAGACCCCCCCAAGTCCAGATGGGAGATTCCACAGAAGGTCATGGAGAATAACAGGGCTAAGATCCTGTGGGACTTCCAGATCCAGACAGACAGGCAGGTCCTGGCCAATCAACCAGACATGGTGGTAGTAGGCAAGGACCAGAAGACAGCGGTGGTGATAGATGTAGTGGTGCCAAGTGATACCACATCAGGAAGAAGGAGTATGAGACTCTGGAGAAGTACCAGGGCCTGAAGGAAGAACTAGAGAGGATGTGGAAAGTCAAGGCCAAAG